GGGCAAGAGTTGGACTGATGATCCTTGTGGATCCCCTCCAACTCACAACGTTCTATGATTCTAGATTGGGGCCAATATTCAAAGGCAACCTGACAATTTCCTGTTAAGTACTGGGAGTGTGGCTTAGCTAAGTACCTCAATAGCTGTTTAATGGAGGTGGTTAGCAGAGTCTGTTCTCACTGAACACCACAGAGCCATTTAATTAAACTACCATTCAATTCCACCTTTGCATAGACAGATGATTGCTGAGACCATAGAGGGCAACTGCTCTTTTACAGTGGCACTACTGATTCATTAGCCTGGCAGTCCTGAGGCTGCCATGGCAAGGATATTGCTCTAGCCTGGGAAAGGGTTTCTGCAGTGCTTCTATTCGCCAGTCACCAAGGTGACCACAAGAACAGCAAGATTTTAAAAATCACTGCAGTTGCTGGTAATTCCACAATGATAGCTCTCTGAACATCAGCTGTATCAGCTGGACACAAACTTAGTCAGTTAATGCTGGAAAGAGAGATATTACAGCAGCGTGCACTGGTGTGACCACAGCAGGCATCTGAGACTGTAGCAGCAGGGAGAGGGCAGGAGTGAGCCGTCCCAGATGCCTCCCACATCCTCCTGGGCTCCCAAGGCTTCTCCAAGGGCCCTTCACTTCTTCTCTTCCCTCTTCTCCCCTCTCCACTACGATTTCAGCTTCACCTTAACTTCCAGAAGATACGAGAATCTAGGAAGTGCTTTATAATGGAAATGTGAAGGCAAACGTACCTGTTGGCACTGTTACAGATGCCTAAGCCTTTATTTCTATGAAAATACATGCTCTCTTGATGAACCTACCATGACTGAGTTAGCTTATCCTCCAGGATTTGGTGTTATTGCACATGCAGGAGCTGCCAGTAATGGTAATGAAAACCCACTCTGCTTCATGGGCTGAGTAGTAAATAGAGAGCCATACGCAGTTCTCAGATACTGTGCATAGCAAAATAATGTAAGAAACCTCCTAGGGTGAAACTTCCTCACAGGTTTTCATACTGACACTAAGGTAAAGTCCTAGGTATGGAAAGCGGTTTGAGAAAGACCTGCCCAGAGAAAGCTCCTCTCCTGCATTTGTTCATCTGGATTCAATAAAGGGCCCACAAGTCCCAGATTTACACCCTTGCAGGAAGCAGCTGCTCTGAAGAAGTTGCACAGAGCTCTCCCCATTTCTTTCTGTCTGTCCATGAACCTTGTACAGACCCATAATGGATTCAGAGTGTTTTTCTCCTTAAAACCATCTCCTCGCAGTTTAATCTTTAAAAACTGCCTCCTCTGCAGCTCTAACTGTAGCATTTGAGTAAGCAGCAACCAAGGCCATTACTTTTTTTTTTTACACAAAGGATTTTTTATTGCATAAATAGAGGCTTAGATATTTTGCCGTACATATAAAAAGTCAAGATACAGTTTAAGCAAATGTTACTCTTGAGGTTTTTATTCCTTTGACACATCCTTCATCTAGAGGAGGGCTTTGTTTTCCCAGGAAAGGAATCCAATGCAAGCTGCCAAGTGTCAGAAAATCTGCAGGGTGGGGAAACAGCAGTGAGAAGAGCAGGCACGATACACTGGCAGCACAGGGACTAAATCTGCCTGACCATGTGGCACGCTGCAATCGGAGCTAGTCACAGCTCTGCGGTGCTGACACGGGAGAACGTTTTCAGGGTAGGAGAATTCACCCCTTCTCACAATCCCATTATAGAAAGATACGGCTGCCAATCTGAGATGGCAGAATCTAGGAAGGACTGGGCCTCTGGTGGGCAACACTGGGTGACTGGGCAGCTAGGGTATTTTCTGTGAAATTAGAGATGCTTTAATGCCATTCAACAAGGTCAATGTCACATGCTGGACACTGAGGTCTTGTGGGATGAGCTTGTTATCCTGGCGTATCAACCCCTTGGCTATGGGCTCTGGCAGGCAGAACTGCCTGGGACCCAACGCCGCACACACAGCACGGTATGATCTGCTCATTACAAGTAACAGGCTTGCTCACTTGCAGGGCAGCCCATCTCTCATTTGTTTAGCAAAAAAACTCCACATAACTTATTCTGTAAAAACAGAAGGAAGTGTTCTCACAGCATTTTCCAATGCCTAGCTAAACTGATTTAAAACAAAAGTTTTAAATGGTATAGGTCTGCTCAGAGACAAGTCTTCAATTTGATGTTAACAGGAGAATGAAAAAAATTTGGGGGTTTTTGTTGTTTTTGTTTTTTTTTTTTTTCCTATGCAAATAAACCACCTCATTCCCATGGTTATTTCAAGGGGCCCATTTCTAGTCACGCTTTCCAAACTCTGTTGCATGAAATAAAACAGTGATAGGTTTGAAATCGGAACTAGTAAACATTTCTAAAAACTGAAACTCCTCTTCATATGTGAGGTGATGACCTCAGAAGGGGAAAGTAAGTTTTTTAATTTAATGAAGAGTAACATTACATCAAACTCCCACCGAGCTTACAAAGGGTAAGCAGGAGCAGAATTCCTCTTGTGCTGCAGAACAGAGAGATGTGAAATGAACTGATACAAAAATCACATACAAACAAGTGAGGGAATATAATCTTAGCACTAGTCAGCACTCATTTTGCTAATGGACTTGATCAGGAAATGATTGCTTAAACTTTGAAAGCAGTGGGAAGGAAATGAAAACCCAAAACCTTAAGAAATTTTGTAATGTTCATTTTGCTCCTTTATGCAGAAAGATGTAAATTTTTCTCAGTGAAGTACTTATGGTGTATGTTATATAGCATGACCTGTAGCATTTCTGTTACCTTGGGAAGCTCCACGGCATGAGATTTGGTGCTTCCAGATAAACTATCTACAACTTGTCATGTATTTAACTTATATGGAATGGCTTAATTATGTGATTTAAGGCCAAGATGTCTGACTGCATCATCCTGCCTGTCATGCCTCTCATGCCTTTTTTGCCAATTTAACCATTTCTTTGCCTCTCAGGATTTCCTGTACAGTTAGCTGGGCATAAAAATTCAGGGAGATTAAGAGCAGAGAAGGAATACTGTGGTAAGATCTCCAAAATCACAAAACACGGCCACCAAGTTGTCTGGTGGCAACCGCAGTTCTTACAAAGAATGGGCATGATATGGGGGTACAAATACAATGAAGCATCTCAGGAGACAGATATTACAAGAACTCAGATAATGGTGATAGTGCTAATTGCACAATCCAAATGTATCCAAGCCAAAACATAATAGGATTAATATGTCAATGCCACTATCAAACACCAGAGTACTGAATAAATTCTATACCTGAGAGACTCTTCAATCATCCTTCTTCTCTACTTCTGTTTTAAATTTCTCTTCACGTTCCCTCTTCAGTTTTTCTTCAATTTTTTTGCTCTGGTACATTTTTACTCCAGCAAATGCTAAGCAAAGAATCAATGTTTTAGCTGCCAAAATGTACATCAGCAATGGGAAATTCTCCAAAGCCTGAAATACAAAACAATATATTTAAACAGTTACTGGAACACTTGGACAATTAAAAATGAATCTACAGGGATGCTATACAGCTTCCTACAGCAACAGCATTATTCAAAGCAATGGTAATGCTCCTCTGTTTGTGCTATTTTTTCTGTAGGAAACTTTAGGCAGATCAATATCTAGGGGAAAGGACAAAACCAAGTTCACTTCACTCAAGTTTGTATATGAAGCCCCTCTGAGCAGGTCTTTGCTGCTTTTGCTTGCTTTACAGCAAATGGATTTTGGCATGATCTAGAGCTGAAAAGGGGGAAGAACTGAGTATCTTAGGATAACTGTAAAAGTGGAAATGCTTCTGAACAATTCCCTTAGGTGATGAATTAGTACCTATCAGCTCTCAGATGTGATCCCCACAGACACTTCCATGCTCCTAGAAATTTTAATCCATGGTAGTTTTGCTATTAATTTGCCCAGATCTAGAAGGTGTAGATAAAGGCCTTTAAACTGGAAGAAATGTAAAAAAATATCACAGCCTCCAATGATTCAGTTTCAGGAGTTTTTAATGCCCAGAACCACCAAAATTGCTCAACTTCTTTCAATGTTGTAAGAGCATGCTATTGGAAGTGTACATGGAGTGGAAAATAAAATGCAAATGGATAACACTGTGAACTAAGAATACAAATAGAACAAAAGCAGCACAGGCACTCAGCGAAAGATGTAAATTCCAGAAGGATCTTGAAGGTACATGAACTTCCCAGTACACTGTTTCAAAGAGCCACCTGGCCAGCAGGATCAGTCCAGTGGTGCACAGTAGGTTCACAGTGCCAGCTCCCCCTTAGCAAGCCTCCTAGTACCCCCATGTATGCTTAGCAGGTCTTCTAGCACCTCATAAAGCTGTTTGGCCATTGTCAAACTACTGAATTTAGAAAAACCCTTGTATCCATACACCATTGGTGTGTCCCCTTAAAGTCCACAAATCAGAGGCTCAAGCGGAGCCTTTTATAATGCTGATCTCTACAAGCTGCATGTTGCCTTTGACATCAGGTCACTCCTCTCTTAATTTTGTAAAAAATCACCATCCTCTGTCAATCCCTCTGCGTATTGAAATTGGCAATTTCTTTAAACCACAGCTCTGCAACAACAGAAGCCAAGCCTTGAGGGAAGTACTGCTTTCTTGATAAATGGATTGATTTAACATGTTAAAATTGTTAATGCATGAGGTACTTGTTCAAACATTTCTGTGCCTTACACATGTACCCTGCAGAGTGTTTATGGGATAAAAGACATAGTGGAGAAAATATCCTCCAATAACAAAAGGAGCTGAGAAAAGAGCAGCTGGAGAAAAGCCTTGAAAGAGGAAAGCCAGGAGGAGCAGAGGCAAGCAGAGCAGAGCTTGCCTACCTGTCCTGCGCTCAGGTCTAAAGTGTGAGGTCCCAATGGCAAGTTCTGGGGCCAGCCTGCAAGGTGCAAGCATGTATGGCAAGAAAGGACAACAATGAGTCCTCTGTCCCCAAGATGCATAGAGTGTGGTGGTTAAACAACCTTCACCTAGGCAAGGAAACCATCTTTAAACACAGGACCCACCCAATCACACCTTACATGCACATGCTTGAAAGAGCAGAAGTCCACTGCTGTATGAATGTGAAACAGCCTCACCTTCCAGTTAAATGCCACCATCTTGGCTGTGTGATGATACCGTCCGTCCCGCAGCAGGCGTCACAAGTGTCACACTCCTAAAGGCACAGACCGGGGCAAAAGCATCTTGAAGAAATGGAAATCAGTAAAGAATTTCTACTCAATCCATTTCTGCTCAGCACGTCCACCCTGTACCTCTCTGACAAGCTCATCTGCTGCGCAGTGTCTGGCAGCGTACCCGTGCCACACAGTTCAGAAACGACCTATATGGATCTTTTTGAAGCTGAGTGACAGGAGCAATGTCCGTGCCGCTGAAGGACAGGGGTTTGACAGGCCCCGGGCAGGTGCCGCACTTGCGCAGAACGGAGGCTGCGCTTCCACCGCTTGCAGCACAGCCCAGCAGCTGCCCAACCAAAAACCCAACACTGGCTGCTTCTGAAAGCTTGACAAATGTGCACATCCCACTGCCTCACTGATGTTTGAGAGGTACTGGCCAGAAATGCATCCAGAAAAGCTGCCTTGTAGTTTTTAAGCCCACCTGTCCTGTTCAGAGCCTGAATGCCTAATGAATCCTAGTATCTAATATAATTTACCAGTTCTCTCTGATTTATTAATAAATTAAATTCTTCACGCAACCCATAATAACAGAAGTGAACCAATCACCCACTGCATCCCTTGAGTGGTCAACATGTGTTTGAGAGCTGAACTTCAGGGCTGAGAAATGCCTAAGGGGATGCTGAAGGCTGCAGCACACAGCAACAACACTGCCCTCCAGTCTCTGCTTGCTGCTCCAGCAGCGCTAACACCGTTTGAGCTGCTGGATTTCAAATTAAACATGTTTCCCTCCCTGACCCCCTTGAGGTATTTCCTGTAAGTGTCACTGTCAAAAAGCAGGAGGAAGCCCTACAGCTTAGTCCAAACCTTCACCAGTAGCTGGGCTGAATAAATCACCACACCACAATAGCTGCTGCTGACCTTTCTTCAGAGACAGAGAGTCAAGTAAATGTTCTTGCAGCTCCTGCTCTGCTCAGCCAGCTTCTTCACAGATGCCCTTATTTCTCCAGCTGAGGCATCCTCCTCTCTCCTCTTCCCTCAGCTGCAAAATCCTCACCCTGCAGAGACCACCCTGGAGACGTCCTCACAGAGAGACATCACTGGAGATCTCTGTTACCAAGATCGAACTATACCAAAGCAGTGCCGTGGCCAACTCATTTGTCATTCAGTATTTACTATGTTGATCCTGAGCTGTGCAGCTCCCTTCTCCTCTTGATGGAATGTCAGGGCAGCTGTGAAATAATGAGTCAGTAGTACTACACCTCCAAAGAAAGGCATTTTAACTTCTGATGTTTCCTCCAGAATTTCAGTGACCATCCAGATTTGAAGTCCCCTGCCAGACAGTCACAGCAGAAATCCCACATCAGAGCAGAATCTAGTTCTCAGCGCACAGTTCAGATGGCTATGTGCTTCTCACCCAAGTGAAACCCAAGTTACAAAAGCCTGGCCTGATCTCAAGGGACTGCACTGCCCAACTGGGGTGTCCTCAACTCAAAATGCTGAGTTGGGTGTGGGCTTCATCAGACCGAGTCTTCACTCTTCTCCTAAATTGCTGTAAATTCTGTGCTTCAGTCAGAATCAATTTTGCAACATATTATAAGATGGCAAGAATTCAGCCATTCAAAGACAGGCTAGCATCTGGCATATGATACTGAAAATGGGATTTTAGTCATTTTTTACATACAGAAAAAGTTTTAGACTCAGCAAACATTACGCAAGCCCATCTGTGGGGTCTGATTGCCAGGTCCTGTCCCACCAGCAAGAAGCAGCACTCTTCTCAGTGATGCCCAATGACAGGACAAGGGGCAATGGGTGTAAACTGGAACACAGGAGGTTCTGCTTAAACTTCAGAAGAAACTTCTTTACTGTAAGGGTGACAGAGCACTGGAACAGGCTGCCCAGGGAGATTGTGGAGTCTCCTTCTCTGGAGACATTCAAAACCTGCCTGGACGCCTTCCTGTGTGATCTCATTCAGGTTCCTGCTCTGGCAGGGGGATTGGACTAGATGATCTTTCGAGGTCCCTTCCAATCCCCAACATTCTGTGATTCTGTGATAATGCGCATCCCAGTGCGCACTCCTGTGAATGCTCTTGGTCACAAACCGATTATTTAAGCATTCAGCGCCACACTTCTGTAATATTTCTGCTCTGCTCAGCCTGAATCTGTCTGAAGTATGTATCTACCAGGAGTAGCTGCACTGAAGACACAAAGGTGTGTGTCTCCCTTTGTTCTGAAGAGCAGTGTTTTGATCCAAAATATTTCCTGAGAGATGGTCTCTCCTCACAGTGTCTTCTGTGGTTGGAACTGAGCAGGGAAGCTGCTGCTCTCTCCATGTTGCATTCCCACATCCCGTGTCACCAGCATCCAGAGCCGGTGGTCAAGCGCTTCTCCCCATTTCATCTCTTGACTCTTCCAGTCTCTGTTTTGATCCAGACCTGATTAAATGCAGCTGAAACCCCAGGACAGAAAAAAATGGGTGGAACTGGGGTGGGGAGAAGAAAGTGTGAAAAGGAGACAAAAAGGCAGGATTCACTTCACATTTGAAAAAAGCAGTTTGTTAGCACTGAGGTCATCAATTCAAAAGCTCACACATTATACTTTCAAGGTTGTGATATCTTAAAAGCATGCAGGCAACTAAACAACTGAAGTTTCATGTTTGCTTTTTCAGAGGCAGATAAGGCACTTCAGAACACATCTACAGTCAGGCATTGTTCATTCCCCAGGAAAATGCGAGCTCCCTTAACAAACACAGCGCCACTGGGTGCAGAGACTGGGTTCCACAGAAGGTCACTGTTACCTTCACTCACAACAAGGAGGTCTCATGTTGAGCCACGTGAGAAAGAAATTAGAGCACTAGGCTCTGCCAGAAGACCTGCCAGAGGCTCTGTGACAGACGCTCCATAAGCTATCCATCACATACTTGTAGACTCCTGTGCAGGGTAGGGAGAAAATGATACCGCTCTCACACACACTGGTGGTCTTCATCACTGTGACTGCATGTTGCAATCACTAGCTGATTTACACTCAGACCTCCTCTGTGAAGCAGATCAAGCTGCTTGACGAGAATCCAGCACAGAGCCACCAAGATGATTAAGGGAGTGGAGCATCTCCCTTATGAGGACAGGCTGAGGGAGCTGGGTCTCTTTAGCTTGGAGAAGAGGAGACTGAGGAGAGACCTAATTAATGTTGATAAATATGTCAGGAGGATGGAGCCAGGCTCTTCTCAGTGATGCCCAATGATAGGACAAGGAGCAATGGGTGTAAGCTGGAACACAGGAGGTTCCACTTAAACTTGAGAAGAAACTTATTTACAGTGAGGGTGATGGAGCACTGGAACAGGCTGCCCAGGGAGGTTGTGGAGTCTCCTTCTCTGGAGACATTCAAGACCCGCCTGGACGCCTTCCTGTGTGATCTCATTTAGGTTCCTGCTCTGGCAGGGGGATTGGACTAGATGATCTTTCAAGGTCCCTTCCAATCCCTAACATTCTGTGATTCTGTGAAACTGCTGAAGATGGGAAAGGATGAGAGGGTCTGCCTGCACTGCACACCCCAGTGCTGTTGTAGCAATCTGCCATTAGCTCCAAATGCAGAGCAGGTGGAGATGCATCCCCAGAGGCTTGTGTCCTCAGCAGGGCTAAAGAGCTGCACCAAGTCCCAGAGCTGATACCAGTCCCAAGATCTCTGCACAACACTATGCTGTGCAACACAGACCACCCCAGACAAAGGAGTCAGGCCCCAGTCAGATGAAAAGTCTGTGGTGGAGCACAGAATTGAATCCAGGACTCTCAGCCACTGAATTACAGTTCCAGTCCACCACAGCAACCACATCACAGCCCAGCCACTCACACCATTGTTTGCTTACGCGGCGGCAGAATATTGACCGGCCTGCGCACACCAGAAAATGTCCACACAGGCATCTGGGTACTCACAAATCCACTTGAGTTGTCTTGGCTGAAAGTCTTACTCAGCCTGCCAATAACTCCATCTACTCAACAAAATGAGACTCAACATATTCTTTTGTCTGCTGGGGATTTCTGAGCATCTCCATTTTATCCACTGTGAAAAGCTATAAGTCACCAGCCTCAGAAAGCAGTGAGCTGCTAGGGTTATATGACTGCACTGAAAACAGAGTGATGGCTGAGTATGTCCTGAGCTAGGAAAGAGGTTTCATTCCACCTCTCTCTTGTTGCTGCTTTCTTTAATGCACATACTTCAGGAAGCAAAACACACGCTCCCCACCTCAACAGTCACTGGAGGACTCACCACTACATGTGACCTGCTGTGTCATGTATCAGCCTTAACATCTGCAAGACAAGCCTCCTCGAAAAAAGGACTACTGGGTCATGGGAGAAAATAACAATATGGCAAAGCCCAAAGGCTGCAGAGAAACATGGTGGAAGCAACTGTAAGACAGAGCTGCTGCACTAAGAATCCATCACAAACCACTGCCACAAGATGCAGCGGTTATATCAAGTCAGAAGCACTCCGACCTGTGTACACTTACAGCCTATATGTGTCAGTAGGTGAAGACATCACTCCATAAAAAGACCTGTATAATCACTCAGTCTATACTAGTGTCACTGATAAAGAAATTCCTAACTAACACCAACTCAAGGAACATCAAAAACATAGACATATAACATCTTCATACCTGAAGAAGCAGAAATTAAAATAGTGATTCCTCTGGCAGCTCCTCACATGCTCCAAATTCTGGGAAATAAGAAGAGACTAGTGTGTTGGGTTGGGGCAGGGGGTGGTTTTGGTAGTGAGGGAAGGGGCCACCCTGTAAGAAGCTTCATGATGCTTCCCTGGCTCCAAGGCATACCCCACCAGCCCAGGCTGAGCCAATGAGCACTAGAGAAACGCCTCTGAGAATCCATATTTGTGAGGGGAAGGACTGTCCTGAAAAGAAGAAGGTGGAGAGAACCTGGAGGAGAGGCCATTGACCTGAACAAAAGACGACCATTGGCCTAAACATAGAGATTCAT